TTTATCCAAAGTTTGTTGCTTGAATGAGAAATTGAACTGCCATTCGAAATGAAAGCAAGCAGGCATAATGTTAGTCCTCTGAGTGCAAGTGAACACGTTAGCAAACATTTTTCTATGTATCCTTATCTCAAATGACCAGGAGTTCCCACTCTTTCACTCTGTGTGCTCAGGTTTTTTTGCCAATACTCTCAGCCAAAACTAACAGAAGTAGGGATTAAGGACAGTAGTTCAGATTAAATTTTGGCTCCAGGGCTTTGTTTCTCTTTTACAGTGCTTTTCATCTCAAGTCCTTTGTGCCACATCCGAACTTCACAAAAAGTCGATAATGATTAAGCTGAGAAATTACCGAATTTCTGTCTTACTGTGGCATGTTTATGCTGATATCTTGTTCTGTTAGGATCTTGTCTTACATGTGTTGTGGTGGCTGATTTGTAGTTCTTTAAAAAAATTCAGAAACCTAAAATTTGTAATAATTATGAAAAGCATCTTTTGAATTCATAATAGTCTGGTTGCTTAAAAAAAACACCCCTTACTTTAAAGTTTTGTAATGATCTTTTGGTATGCTAGTATTTGAAAAGTTGTGAAGGAAGGAAATTTACTAGCATTCAAGAAACTTTGGGTTTCTCCAGTATTGGTGAATTTGGTTTTCATTAACATTATGCCAAAAATTATCAGGCATGCAGGACTCTCTTCTATTAAAGAAAACTGCATTACCAGGGAGTTTTGTGACAGCTTAATTCAAATGTGCATTTTTTACACTATTTAAGTGTATAGTACTATTTTGGCCATTTTTTTCTTCAAAAGAATATGAGCACAGAAATATGCTTCCTTCACTTTTATCCAAACGTTGGCATTTCTTGAAATATATAAATTATGCCATGGTAACTTCAGAAGAAAACAATTTGGGTTTTGTTAAAACAAACCAGTTTGTTAAAGCAAATCAGAAAATGGAAACCAGCTTGAATTCTCAGTTTTAATTGAAGTTTTTAAAGCTGAAGCATGCTTTCAAAGGGATTCATAGTCTCTGAAATACTGAATTTTTGAGGACAAAACTGGTGATGCCTTGGAGAAGTTCACTTACCACAACTAGTTTGAAAAACGCAGTGTGCATTTTGCCCCTTTTGCTAAAGGCATATTTGCATATGTCTGTAAATACAAAGTACCTGATAAGTTAGTAAGCCTTTTTGTATACAACTAAGTTTATAATTTGCTGGCACTTTTCTACTGTCAGAGCTTGAAAGCTCAGTCCAGCCGATACTGCACTTACATGTGCAAAACAGTACACATGAACCTGCAGGATATTTTAGTGAGGGGAAAAAAAGCTATATTTTTCAGACAGCTATCCATCGATCATCATTTAACATGTATAGTATTGATTAAATTATAGAATTACTTAAGTAAAGTCCATATAAAATGTATTTCACTGTTCTAATAAGTCTTAACTGAGAAGTACTAAAGTGTAGAATAATATAGTGCCTTTAATATAGGTAGAGTAAAAGTTTATAGTATTCAAATATTAGGGAAGAAATACATTTACCACTACAATTTGGCCTCTAGAATGCCATTATTCTCCTGGGGAAAAAATAATTTTTTTCAAATGGGAAAGAAATGTATCTGGCTTCAGCTTTTCTATCTACGCGTAGTTTAATGCAAATCTCTGCAGGTTGGAAGCTGTGGGAAGCTTGCTGAATCTGGCCCTAAATTCATCTTTCTTTTTTTCCCAACAGGACTCAATCCAACTACAGCTTTCAAGTTTTCCTAGCTTGCAAGAAGAAGATAAATCTAGTAAAGATGACTCCGAGAAAGAAAAAGAGAAGGATAAAAATAAAGAAAAAGATAAAAACAGTGAAAAAAACAAGATCAGAATGTTATCAAAAGGTGAACTTAAAAATATTTAAATTGCTATAATTACTGTTATAGAAAGGATTGCGTGTTTTCAGAAGCATGCGTTTCTGTGTTTGTATATAAATACACAGTAGAAGTGTTTTCATACATCGAGAAAATTCAGAACCTGAAATGTTTGTGCATGAGAGTGTTTTTCATACAAACTCAGCTTTTGAAAGTGAAGAAACCTTCTAAACTCTGAGGTTTGGTATTGGAGGTTATTAATTTTCTTTAATGTAAAAGCATTCTTCTGAATACTTAACCATGTTGGTATAAACACACACATATGTAAATATATGTGTTTATATAATAAGACAAGTGTAAGACTATTACACTTTTTCCCTCATTAATGATAATAAATTGGCATGTCATTTGTGCAATGTAGGCAGTAGAGAGTAATCCTCTTCCCTATTGCTCCTGTCTCATGGAGTATTTCTCTTAAATGCTGTAAGGAAATCCATCCATGACCTCTAACCTGCATTGCAATCTACCATTAGCACCTACTAAGACTTCTTCAGAAGAGACTTTTGTATCTAAATACAGTATTTTTTAATTATTTTTTTTTATTAATCCATGGTACAAAGCTGCAGTATAATCTCTTAAAAATAATCATTGCCTACCTGGGTGTGGATCCGCAGCTGGTGTGAATTGTCAGTTGGCTTCAATGGAGCTCTCACAGTTCACGCCAGCTTGAGGATCTGTGTGTACTTTTGAGTGAGGCGATACAGCAATGCTGAAAAATGAATTCTGACTAATGTCACGCATCACTATTACCTGCCCACTCTCAGGCGTCACTGGATTTCAGTCTGTTAATGCAAATACAATTCCCACTGGCACGATGCCTCATTTTCCAGGTGTACAGCATTTATTAAGTGATGCAAAGAGACATTGATGAATAAAACTTTTTCTTTCACTTTTTAAAAAAAAATTATTTAGTAGTTTGAAGGAAGAAATTGGCAGGGCCTTCAGTGGTATTGAAGGTTTCCTGTGATTTTTCAAATGACCAGCACTTCCTGTCAGTGTCTAGTTTTGGTGTTGCATTCTCGGTAGAATGGTACAGAGGAACCGTGAACGTCCACCCGAAGCTTCCGAGCGTAGATCTTTGTTGGCTGATCTCTGAATGAACATTTTCTTTCAGAGCATATGCTTTTACATTGTTACTGGAAAATGGATTTTGATTTACAGCATAGCTTAATTGTAACTGTTGAAATGAAATAAATGGGGGGTGGTGGTGGTGTTTTGTTTTTATTTTTCAGATTGCAGTCAAGAGTATACAGACTCAACAGGCATAGATTTGCACGAGTTTCTCATTAACACATTAAAGAATAACCCCAGGTAGGTATTTTCTGCATTAGAGCTGGCACTCCTGAAATTATAGCTGGCAGTCTCTGAGTTCCCGTAACTGTACGCTGTGTTTTATTAGTTCCCAAGATGGGAAAATGTAAAGGAGGCAGGTTGTTAACTGAGCAAAAAGCTATAAGAAGTCATCAACTTCTACTTCCCCCGTCCAGTCACCCATTGCTTAATTTCACTTTCAGTGACATCTGGTCTTTGTCCTTTCCTTCCTGCATATAGCTCTACATGATTTCAGCAGTAATATATTATAGCCATTGCAGTTGGAGATTTGTATATGAAGATAAAGTAGCTTTCTTTCAACAATGCTGTACACAATTAAAATCCTGTGCACAATGCCAAATTCTGCTCTCGATATTACCATAGTTTTCACTTGGAGCAGTGAGCTCATTTCAACGTTAAATTTGCCTCTGAATGCCTAAGGAAGGGTCTGCAGCATTTTTATACGTTGTGATTTTTAACATTTATTTTAACTGAATCCATTAAATAGGTACCATGTAATTCTGCAATTATAGGGGATCTAGGAACAGTAGGGTACTTAACAGCTTGCGTAATCTCTTGTATAGATGACATAAGGTCCTTGAATTGTTTTATCTGCCTAAAACGAGAAAGTTCAAAAGAGCTAACGAGTGATGGATTCTGTGAAGCTTAGAAAAAACGTACATGTGGGAATGTGCTGAGGAAATTTGTTTAATGTTTTTGGCTTGGAGTGGCGGGGCAGGGGGAGGAACATCTGAGACCTTCTGGTTGAAAACAGAGTATTTTGACTGAGAAATGCTGCGGCATTGCCTCCTGGGAGCCATAGCTCAAAGGCATTGTTCTCCATTGTGCTCTCTCTAACTAGATGAGATGTACCCCGTCGTCTTGTCTGCAGATCAGTGCCTCATGGAAGATATGTCTCAGACAAAATGTTGAAAATTTCTCTGGTAGCAGCTCTCCTTATGAAAGAGCTGTGTTAGCTGGAAATCTAATTTTCCATCAAAAAAAGGGTGAAAAGGGACCAAAGCTATCCGTAGCAGTCAGAGTCTTTGTGTGCAAGGTGTTGATCACAGCCTGGTGTGGCTGGAAGCCCTCTCAGACCATACTTGCGCTCAAGGAAGAGCTAAATCTGTCATGTATGTCAGCGAAGGTGCAGCAAAGCAGGCCGCAATCTTCTCCAGATGCGCCAGGGCACAGCATGTTTCATTTTTAATCAAGATGGCTGACAACACTTGCAAAATTGCCTCACAAATATTGATAGATTCAATTTTTTCAATCTAAAATGTCTATTGATAGTTGATGCTACAAATCCTTGCGTTTTTTTTTGACAGGGACAGAATGATACTCTTGAAAATGGAACAAGAAATTATTGATTTTATTAGTGACAACAAGTAAGTCGAGTTCCCCGCTCGGTTATTAAGTCACATGTGCGTGTAGCAATGCGAGCTGCATGAGGGATCTGCTCATATGGACCACAGTGCTCCCGAGCGCTGTTACTGGCACGCTGCAAGATCAGGCTTTTATTTCCTGACACATGGTGGTACTGCTTAAAATACAGTAGATGTAAATGAAAACCTTTTTGCTTTTCATTACGCCGTAATTTCTCAGTGGCTTCCCTTGGCTCTGCTCAGTTAGGTCCAAAAATATGAGTAAAGCTTTTGGTGCAGAGGACAATCAAATACACTACTTTGCGGGTTTCCCTGAGTGCTATGTAATTCTAATGCATTGGAAAAAAACCCTGAACTTGGGCGGAAGGGATTCTTGCTGCCACATGCTCCTTGTAATAAACTGTTTCTGCAGCTTTAAAAAATAGATTCAGAATAGGAGCAGAGGAAGAAATTATGCTGATGGGAAATACACGTTTTTGTCAGTAAGAGAGTAAAAAGGAGTATTTGCCAACCTAGATCTTTCCAGCATCGCTCTGCATCTGACCTTTGGGAGAAAGGCAGAAAGCTGTTAGCAGTGTCTCAGCAAATCTGCAGGATGGTTTGTGCAAGGAGCATGAGTGTGTGTGTCAGGTTGGGGGACAAGTTCTTCCCAAATACGGAATACTCGGTTGACACCATGAAGCATAAGCTTTTTTTGTCCCAATGTAGTGCATGGAAATATGCATATTCAAAACTGAAAATGTAATTCTTTTCTCTTGTCTGCTTTTTTTTGTAGCTAACATTTATATGTAAACGCACAAAGGAGAAATTTTCAGTTAGATTTCTGTCCACCAAATTATCAAATGCATTGTTATTTTCATTTAATTATAGCTCAGAGGGCAATGTAATTATCATTGCGATTTGTTTTCTTTTTTCCAGTAATCACTATAAAAAGTTCCCTCAGATGTCATCGTATCAGAGGATGTTAGTGCACAGAGTGGCAGCTTACTTTGGAATGGATCACAATGTGGATCAGACTGGAAAATCTGTAATTATCAACAAGACCAGCAATACAAGAATGTAAGTAGCAACGCTGTTGTGTTTTCCCTTGTTCCCTTTCACAAAAGCTGGTTTGTACCATGACTGCGTGCTGTACTTCTTTTTTGTAGTGAGAGTGAGTGCTGTTTATTGCTTTCGCGGATGGGAGGGGAGGACAGGGCTAGTACTGTGAGGTTATTTAAGGATATAAAGATGTTTAAGGAGAAATCAACCCAATTTGTCCCTTGCAAGAAACTTAACACAGTGTGTTGGAATGTTACTTCCCTGACTCCTTAGTACCACCACTGCTACAGAAATGAGCTTGTTGCTTTACATGTCACCTGATACCATACGGCTATATTCCTAAATAACCCCAACATATTTGGAAGATTGCCTCTTCCCTTGTTCTGGCTGTCCCTGCTTCGAAAGTCACTTTCTGCCCAACCTAATTATTTAGGATGTAGTTCCCCTCCACCACCTGCCACCGTTCATTCCCTTGTTCTTCTCTTTTCCCCTCCTGGTTCCACTTTATTTTCTCTTCAAATCTCATTGTTTGACCACAGAGTTTTCTTGAGATATAAATTCCTTCTGATGGTTCAAATACATCGCAAAATTCCTGGCAGGTTAAACTTGCGCTGGCATGCTTTATACTCTCCTCCATGAACCTGTGTGAAGCTGGCAAAAGCTCAATATGAAGTTCCCTGGCTAATTCAGCAAAGACGCAGTTATGTGTCCTTGCCTAATCAGCATCACTTGTTCTGCCAAGTGCTACATGTACATCATGGAACCGTAGCCTTCCTCTCTCTACCTATAAACTACATAATGAAGAGGAAGTAATTACAACTGGGTAATGAAGTTTTGGTATCTGGTATTGGAACAGGAAAGCCCTATTTGAAAATTGTGTACTTCCTGTATTCAATTAGTAGGAGAAATAAAAACATTTATTTCACTTATATATCCCGTCATTAGCTGATTTACTTAAAGGCAGTGGCAGAGAGCATTTTTTTTTTTTTTTAAATGTTATTAGCTTCTCCTGTAGAAGGCTAGAGGGATGACCTAATTTTGCAAGACCTGAGCCAAACACATTGGTATTTGTTATTTCACTGAGCCCTAAAAATCTTCCATGTGTGTGAAGTAAACTTAAGATCATGGACAACTTATTTTAGATCCTTTTCATGGTCTATCCCTGAGATACTCGGACATCTGTAAAGCAACACTTAGACATTAATGTTTTTAAAGGCTTGAATAAAACATGCACTAACAGTCTGATTTTCAGAAGTCAAGAGAATTGCAGCAGCTCAATAAAAGTGACACTCAGGCTGCTAAGGCTTGGGCTCAGGGTCTGGTAATACCCGCCCCTGTGCAAGGGCTGTGTTTGGGTATGAATAAGAAAAAGCTGGGTATGCAGCAAACTGCTGTTCATTTTTGAGCTGTAAATGAGAGAGGGGAGGGAAAAAAAAAAAGAAATTAGTCTCCTCTTAAAACACAATCAATCATATTTGAATGCTTTTTAGGCACTCCTTTACAATTCTCCCTTTTACCTTCATGTCTTGGTCACCTCTGTAGCGCACCAACTGCTACAGGTCTTTCCTCACAGCATTGCCTTCTCCTGGGTGGCTTGATAATGTGATAATATCACATTAATATCCGGTAATGCCTTGCTCGGTTGCGTGGCTGTGCATCACAGAGGTGGGTAGCGCTGGAAGCGCAGTTGGAAATGCTTGCACAGTGCTTCTGGAGAGGACACTGAAGTCGCCTTCAACAGTCAAAACTTTATCTGAGTGCTGTGGTGAAGCTGTGGCTTTTTGCCCTGTGGGAACGAGCAAGCAAGGCTGTTTACCAGGCATGAACTGGCCTCCTTGTGGGCAAGCTCAGCGGGCAGGACGTTGCAGGGGTATAACAGATCGAATGACCCTTTCAGCTGCGGTGTTGCAAGCTGGAGGTGAGGCACGGAGCCAGACAAATTGGTTCTGACACCATTCCTGTGTAGGTCTTCCAGAAATAAACACAGGACTTTGCCCCTCTGTTGACTGGGAGTACAGCTGTTTTGTAAGCACCACACAAACTGCAGATTTTTTTTTTTTCCCCTCCTGCAGTGATTTGGTGATAGGTAACTGGATTGTATGAAGCTCGTATTGCATCATGGTGCTTCCAGTGTGTTATTTACGTTATTTTGATACTGCTGTGAGACAAAGCTTTGTAGAAGTAGCTCTTTCTTTTCATAACTGAAGGAGATGGCATGTTTTTTAAAATGTCCCTGGCTCTGACAGAAAATAGATTGTTATTATCCAGCATGAATAAGGGCTGATGAGATTTTATTATCCGCAGCAAATACTGTGTAAGTTCCACATCTGAAAGCATCCACTGTGATTTCATGTGTTCTGCATTTCAGTACTCTCAGAGGAGATAATTTTTTGTGGTTCAGAATCAACACCAAATACTGGGAATGTGTTGACTGTATTAATTACTACTTGGAAAGTATCCAGAATACTGGAGAATCTGGAGAGCGGCTGAAACGCTGTTCAATGTGGTTATGCTGTGCTGTAAGCCTGAGCCTTGATAGTTTTATGTGAATTCATGGGGAGGCCCCATAGACAGATATTCTGAAGATTTGCATTTTGACAATAAATTATCTCTTTATGGCATATGGTTTTCAAAGTACTTTAGCTGCATATTGTGGAGAGGGAAAAATATTCTTGCATACTTAAGAATTCGTAAATTCTGCACTGGCTGTGACTTCTGTCTGCGTGTGCCTGTTTAGGAAGAGCATATGACTCTGTAGAGTCTCCGTGTGGGCTTGAGTAAGTACCATGTGGCTTATTTCTCTGGCCAAGTGATGAGGGTTCATGTCCCATCTCTGCTCACACTTGCAGGCGATGAGTTGTTCCCCGGCTCCAGGCAGTGAGTTGCATTTATTTGGCTCAGCAGAGACCTCCCATGCTCACTGTCCGCAGGTGCTTGGAGGCACAAGTGTCAGGAAGGTGAATGGCTTTGAGATGGATGGGCTGGTCAGGGAAAATCTGGTAACAACGCTACCTTAGAGATGCTGCAGTACCAAGTAGGGTCTGTGAAACAGGGGACTAGGGTATGCATGGAGTGGATGAGGGCATTTCTTTTCTTTCATCAATTGGCCATCTTAGGGCAACATATATGGACTTCTGCATACCTGTGCTTATAAAAAATACCTGCTTTTGAGGGCTTGGAATTTGAGAAGGTGTTTACTGAAGAGGTTGCACAGCTGGAAGGAGGGCTGTGGCTTGTGTGGTCAACCATTCTGCTTTACAGAAAGGCAAAGAAGATGGTAAAAGTGCACCAGAAGTTGAATCTCTCTGGGACTGGAGTCCTGGAGCTTTAGTGAACTCACTGTGAAGTGTCTCTTAAAAATACTGTCAGACCACAATGGCAGTTTTGCAATCTGAAGGCTATTTATGATGAAGAGCTTAATCTAAGATGCCTATTTTTTAAAATTTTATTGGAATGTGAACAAGTCATACTGTTGGGTTTTTTATGAAATGAAATTTTAAAACAAGAGAGGTGACCTCAACTACCCAAACGTTTGTTAATCTTCATAAAGTTAAGTCTCTGTACTGTAGCTCTCATTATAGAAGAGTAGATTTTAAAAACAAATTATCTTTCCATTTGATTTTTGAAATTAAGACTGGGTTAAAAAAGAACAACTTTGAAAAATAGGTACCATTTTTCGTGGTCTCATATCTTACAAAGTCCGACTAACTAAATTGTCCAACTGTTAAAAATCTTATTCTCAGCAGTATACGCAAGAAAAGTTGATTGGAAAATGAGGGAGGTTTTTTGTTGTTGCTTTGGTTTTATAGTCAAAGAGTTCAAATACTGCCTAAAATGGGAAGTCTGCTTTGTTCAGTATGAAAGTGCTCTTGTGTCACCATTGTAATGTGTATTTGTGTGTCATCTGTGTCTGCCTGTCATCTATCTAAAGATATACTGAAATGTGTGGGGAACTTAAGGCAGTGAAATACGATATAAACAGAAGTTTGGAATTAAGGCAATATGTTAGGGCATCCCAAATTGGAGCAAAAACGTGTATGTGCCACCTTCTTTTCCATATATTCTTCCTAATTCCTATCAAACAACTGGAAGTACTTCAGAGCCTTTTGCAGAACTGTTCATGTTGTTACACGTATCAGTTCAATCAGTTCATTCATTTAGTTATCTGTAGGTAGGGTGGAGAAACGTAGGGGAAGTGTGTTTGGTGGGACTGGTAAATGAAAAGGGGTTTCATGTGGTTGAGATCATCACCCATGTGACAAGTATGTCTGTACCACAGCCCACACATCCATTCATGTACGTTTTTATATAAGCATGAGTGGCAGGGCTCATCAGAATTGAGAAGGTGGAATGCTTAGAATATGTAATGCTTGTATTTAGACATTTTCATACATTCTGAGGGTGTAACATACCTATTGCAAACTTTATACCAATACTCACATCTTCAGTTATGACTAATTTTTTTTTTCCAAGAGCGTCATGAGTTATGATTCTCCTAATATTTGGTTTTCTTCTTACTCTGTTAATATGTAAATGTTAAAATAATATTGGCCCAGTCAGAAGGTTTTTTGGTGCCTTTGGTGAAAAACTTTGGGCAATACTAAGATGTTATGTGTATTACAGGGGTTCCTTATAATCTAGGGCTGAACTGTATCAGCAGAAGGAGATATAATGTACAGTATGTACTTTGAGTAACCTACAAGACCTTGGTAGTTATGACATACAATCTGTGTTGTTCTGTCTCCTCTGTGTAAGGGTGGTTTGAATCACAAGCAGAGAGGAAAAGTTCTCGTTAGATGTGTGTTGTGTATACAGTGAGTGATCTTGTAGATAACACCTATGCCAGTAAAGGTGGGCTGTGCCAATTTCACTATCTTAAGACAAGAATCTGAACTTTGGTACAGGATCCTACAGCCATATCAGAAAAATGGCATTCATTTAACATTGGCAATTTCAATGAGGAATAGTTTCTAGAATATTTTTTTTTACCCTAGGCAGAAGTGCCAAGAGGACTTCTT